ATTGCTGAAAAGAATCTGCAGAAAAAAAAAAAATCTAGATATTTTTAACCGAATGCCACTGAATGCTTCTATAAACCTTGACAATTACAAAAAAAAACTATTAGTGAACACCATTTTCTTTACAAACCAAAAAAAGCAGTACTTTTATAAATTTAGCACCGATTCTTCACATTAATTTTGCACACGTCTAATCAAAGCATTTTTATAATAGGGCCCTGATTAAATTTTAACTTCTTATTCATGGTATGAATAGTGATGGGATGTAAGCTGGGTTGAAAAGCCAATTTCTTCAAATCACTTCATCTTAATTTAACATGCCCTCATTTCAGAATGATGGTCAGGCTTTGCATATAATATTTGCTGATATAACAAATATAAATTTGCTCTTTTTTTTCACCTTTTAAAATTACATTGAGAGTTAAAGAGAAACTGGAACGGCCAATATAGCTTCCCGTCTGCGTGATCTCAACCTCTCTGCTCGCTGCATTCAAACAGCTGAAAATGTTGCTGATCAATTTTCTCATTGTCATGTTTATGAAACAATGGAATGTATAATTTCTGTCAGTTTTGTCCATAAACACAAAACCAATTAGAACAGCATGGAAATGATCAACAAGTCATATAAAAACAAAGAGCAAACCCGCTGAAGTTAGCATAACATTTCAGCTATTTCCTAAGCGTGACATCACTGTGAGCTGGAGAAAAACCGCTCTTTACTTTGTGGAAACAGACGTATCTTAAAATTAAATATCTTAAGCTAAAGTATACTTTTCCTATTCTATTAAATGTAAGCATATTAAAGGTGTCCTGCAGAAAGTCCAGTTAAAACTAAGATCTCTTGTCAAAAAACTACATTTTGTCCCACTTAACTCACGTTTGGAAGTGTGTTAAGTGGGACAAAAATCAGGAAGTTGATGTAAAACATCTAAAAGTGATAAACTAGAGAGCTTTTACACATATAGGAAACATTTATTGTTACTCTAAAGTTGGATAAAACTATATGAAAAAAAACTAACTATAAAGAAACACTTCTCATCTTGAACGCCTCTGATTAGGGGACAAAATGACAATTAAGAGATATCTATTATTTAAACCCTGAAATCAGCAGGGTGTGCATTTAATTTTTTTTTAAATAATATATCAAATATCTTTTCATAATCTCATTAGAGATCAAACATCAACTGTATATCCTGAGGGTGTTAAATTTGTGCTGTAAAAATATCCTAATGATTCATTGTGGATAAATTGCATGCAGAGATTTTGATAGTGTTTTTTTTTTTTAAGCTACAAAACATTTGGGCAAAGTTTCATCTCTAAGAAAGAAAAAAAAAGAAACAATTTATGTTATTTAAAGTTCAAGAGATTTTCTGCATTTGACAGGTCACACATTTTTAAGAACTGTGAAATGGTCATCACAATATTGCTGTTTAGAACATACCACTCACAAAGGACAAGGGGTGAGTATTGGCATGGGTGTTGCAAACGATTCGGGTCACAATGCGCTATTATCACTATATTGCAATATCACTATTAGTGTTGCGCCGATGCCATTTTTTGGCCCCGATACAGATACCTGATACCTGGCTGTGCAGTATCGGCCAATACCGATACCATAATAATATAAAATAATTGCCATCATGGCTTTGTCAAGCTGCTGCCTACCTTTGTGAAGCAGGAAAAATTCTAATACAAAGTGAATCCAGTAAAACTTTTTATTGCCTACCTGGAATGTGTGACAATAGTTGAATAAACTTATGGCTCTCAAAATGGTATCGTGCCCTATTTGTTGGTACTCGCCAATACCGATACCACCATTTTAGGGCAGTATCAGGGCCCCATCCGATACTGGTATCGGTATCGGATGCAACACTAATCACTATATTGCCATATTTTTTCCAGCTATCAAATTAAATGTATAAATAAAAAAAACAAGTTCTGTATATATTCAGAAGATATTGATCATTTAGATATTTTAGTATCCATGTTGATTGGGGGTTGAATCAGTCCACATCTTCCACAGTGTTTGCCTAAACTAGAGATATGGCATCGTGCCGCACAGCAAAAGGGCTCCACAGCGCTATCTGCCAGAGTGGTGGTGGAGATTTAACCCATTTTCCCTCATTGTTTTTAGGTAAAAATGTTTTTGTTTTTTGTTTTTTTAATCAATACTAGGAACTAAAAGATCGATATTATTTTGGGCAGCTGAAATTCCTGATGTATCCGCAAGCAAATGTTTATTTATAACTTTAATTTTTCCAGGTAAGAAATCCGTTGTGATTTTGAAATCTGTTTCAGAAGGATGTCCTGGCCAAGATGTTCAAGTTGCAAACAAGTCATTACATGTACAGGGATACAGCACTGTAAATCATTACTTTGGCTTCATGTGACTTAATCTTCATTAGACAGAATGCTAAAGCTTACTTAGCGGTGGCGACATAGTGATGATTAAAAAGGAAGAGAAGAGAGAAAGTGTCAGAATCAATATTCTTGTCATAATTTCCAGCAACAGCATTGCAGTTCTTTTTTTCTGCCATCCTACAGGCCTTCAGAGAAAGCATATTTAACAAAGTGGGGTTAAGAGTTTTCCTAGTGGTTTTTAACCGTTATGACACTTTGATCTTCTAAACTTTAGCATGTAGCAAAATAAACAGCTGATTTTATATAAACTAAATAAAAACCTTTTATTAAAAAAAAAAAGACTTCTTTTAAACATGTGGGAATAATGTTAAACAACCTTACAGACAAATGCAGTTTATTCTGAAGAAGAACTGGCACTTCCTGTCTAACTTGTTCCTTTAAGGTTTTAATCACTGGCAGTGAGTCAGTTGACATTTATTGACACAATGGATGATCTGCAGGTCTGACATGGCTGCAGCCATCTTCAAATTCAAAACCTGACACTCCTCTCTGGTCTCTTTGAGTAAAACTAAGCATTTAAAGATGGTCTTCAAAAAGAACAAAAGAAAAGAAAAAAAAATCTTTCAGTTCGTCTCCAGTATGCGAAGAGAGGGAGGTCTGGACTCGCATCTGTTTCTTTAATCAGTCTTTGAACAAGTATCATCACTGCAAAGGAAAACCTCCTGAAACCATCTGAATGTAACCAAAGAGGAGAACACGTTCCAGATGGAGACATTTTTCATCCTGTTTTCATTTTTTTATCCCCTTTTGCTGCCATCTCTACAAAGATTCAAACAAACAAAAGGCTTTTCAGCACCAACTGGTACCCGAAGGCTCTGTGTTATTTATCCCACAGAGAGCCTGGTTCAATTCCCCTGGCATCTTCTGAAACAAGGAGAGCCACTCATGTTCAGTTATGAGGTTAAACTAAATTAAGAGGCTGCTGTGTCTCCTGTCTAAAACGGGACAAAAAGTTTACAAAGCAGCAGAGTGAAAGAGCCTGAGCAGAAAGGGGCAGTAATGAACCAAATCTAAATAATTATATAGCCAGGAGGTAAGTTGCACTCGCCAGTGAGTTCTCGACAAAAGGCTTTTGAAAGTATATGGGAAAAGACAGTGTTACACAACAGGGAGGAAAACACAAGCAACGAGAAACACATGGTTGGTGGCGCATGTATCTAGTTTCCAGTAGAGAAAAGGAGCCAGAAAGAAAAAAAAGCAACAAGGTGGAAACATTCCTCCAACTCATAAAATCCGTCATCTAATATGCTGGCTTTTGTTCAGTTTTTTTTTTTTAAACCAGACACTAAAGGCTGACCTGGGTGCCATTAAATACGTTACAGAAATGTCCATATCTTATGTTTTTTTTTTTTTTTTTTTTTTACATTTTGTCACATTAAAACTATGCATTTCGTACGAGATGCAGAGGAAATGGAAAATGTGTGGAAGTAAATGCTCAGATGAGATGAGATCAACATTTTGATTTCTGGCCATCGTGGAGAAAGCCATTTGTGGTTAACAGAAAAAAACAAACAAACACAAAAACAGCTAAAGCCCGGCGTACACTGTTCGATTTTCAGGGCGATTTTCCAGTCTTGCGAGAATCTTTCGTTCGGGCCGACTTTCAGCCTGATCGTGCGTCGTGTAGTGTACAGGGTGTACAGCGGCGATCAGCCTCTCCCGACCACTTCCCCATCAGGAATCATGAGGTCAGGAGAAAATTAAACATGTTATATTTTTTCCAAACATGTAAATCAAAAAACATGAAAATCAAACGTTTAATTTTCTCCCGACCGTCTGGGGTAAATCACTCAGTGAGCATGCGCGAATAAAAGGATTCTTCTGTAAACACAGAAGCGTGGCATTGATGCAATGAGTGAAATGTAGTTCTGTCTGTAAAATTGACAGACCGTAGTAGCCATATTGGTTACAGCCAATTCATTTTTCCAAATACGTTGTCGCTTTTTCTTTTTAGGGCTTTTAGCACAAAATTGCACAAATTTCCAAGGCAGCGCGTTTCACTCTAGTGAGCTTAATATTCCTCTTATTTTTGTTTGGCTTCCGGATAGATGAGTCAGAGCAGCTCCATCTCACTGCGGAGCCGAGTCCAACGTGCTATTTAGTCGTGAAGTGTAAGCAGATAGATCGCATGAGAGCTACGGGCCGAACATAAATCTGCTGCTCACAACGACTGAAAAAAAACGCACAGTGTATGCCCGGCTTAAGAGATCACATCATTCCCATGGTGAGACACAGTAGTGGTAGGATCATGCAGCGGGATGCTTTTCTCTGAACAGGAAGCTGGTTAGAAGATGGATTAAACTAAACGGAGAAGGTTCCCTCACCAAAAGGACAACAAAACTAAATGTATTACCAGAGCTTTAATTGAAGAGTCTAAATTACTTTGCTATAATGGTCCAGTCAAAGTAAAGATCTTAATCCAATTAAAAACTGCTGACAAGGCTTTAGAATTGCTGCTTGCTTTCAAATATGACTGTGCTGGAGGTTTTCCAGCTAATAGAGACATGACAGAATGTAAATTAAAAAAAATTTGAGATTTCCCTCATTTAAATGCATTCAATATTAAAAGAATAAAAACTCACATTTAATATTGAAGGAGGCCGTGGTGGACAACAGAAGTTCTCCAGTAGCAGAATTTGACGCCCGGCAGCTGAAGTTTCCTGCGTCCAGCTGTCGATCCACCGAGATGAACTTAAGGTTGCTCCCCTCTTGAAAGCGCCTCTCTGTGTTTTTCAGACGGCTGTCGTCTTTAAACCAAATGTACGTGATGTTGGCCGGATCGCTGACTTCGCAGCGCAGCATGGCGCTGCGGCCGTGCAAAGCATCCTGGGACTTGGGCTCCTTGGTGAACTGGAATGAAATGGCCTGAATGGACAGAACTAAAAAAAAGAAAGAAAATGGAGAGGGAGAAAGATAGAGGAAAGTAAATGACAAGAGGATTAGGACTGGGCAGCTGTTAACATTTTATAGCTTTTTTCCATTCATTAAGCATATGCCACAGCAACCACTTAGCCTTGTGGAAGAATGTGATGTTGAGACAATAATGACTTGGCGTAAATTATTATGTTGTAAAACCATCAGACTCAACATGGAGGACGGTTTTTACTTTCCTAGTCATGATGCTTTGGTTTGAGCGGATAACATCACAGTCGTGGATGAAATTAGATCAGGAGATGTGAAAAACAACCCGTGTTCTCCTGCTCTCTTAAAACTTATTTTTACTTCATGATCCTATAAACAGGTTCGGTCTCGGCTTCATTTACTCCTTTTAGCCACATCTAAAATTTAGATAATAGGGGTTGTGTGCAGTTTAGAGTAAACAGTTTTTGATTTGTACAATATTAAAAATAGCTGATCTCGAGAGGATGACATGCAAATAATACATTTTCCTTGATGAGAAAATCTATCATTAATAAAAGCTCTTTTTGTACGTTTAATGTGCTTACAAATTACTCAGAATACATGGGAACCTTTAATGCCGTCAATTTCTTAAGTATTCCTTAAAAAAGTAATAAGAGGATAAAGTGCCAGTGGTTTTCATCAGACAGGAAATAGCCAAAAGAAAAGAGCTAACATCCTAAACTGCTAATATATGTAGTCAGAGCAACACTTTTTAGATGTCAAACAAGCAGAACTCTAACAAACAACGTTACATTAATGCATAAAGAGTATCAAGGAAAAAGGAGCAAAAAATAAAACAAAAAAGTTAAAAAGTTGACCATATCATAACAATAAGGATACCAGAAAAAACGGCCTTTTCTCTCCTACCATCACAAACATAAACCAGGAGAGCTTGCTAGGCCCAAATATGATTTTTACTGCAACAAAGCTTTGGTCAGACTATGAAAACATCACTAAAAGATGCATGAGGTCCGCACAAACAAATTAAAGAGTCCTGCATACTTACAAAGTCCAACATTTTTTTCAGTCTTCATATTCAAGCATACCCATCCCTACATTTCTCACGAAAAATACGTTCATTTTCCACACTTTCATTGTAATTTGGCACCTTTCACCATTTCTTCCCTCACAGAGCACCAGTTAGTGAGACCAACAGAGCAGCTGAGATGTTGTGGGTCTTTGCGACTAGTTGCTCTAAGCAGTGTGAAGCTGTCAGCTTTTGCCTAGCGAGTTTCATCGGCTCGGTTTCACAAATAAAACAGTTCAGTATGAATAATCGCTCTTGTTAGAGACATCACACATGTGGTTGTAAAACCTTTTTTTCTGTGCACCTTTCACACAGACATCCGAGGACATGTCTGCACAAGTAAAGAGGACTTTTAGTATAAAGATAAAAGCTCCTGAAGCCAATAAAGCTGTTATATATGTTGTTATACTTAACAGGTTAGGGCTGGCAGTTAAATAGCTATATATCGCGATAATCATATCAACATAAAGTATGTCTGATAAAACCTTCAACATCTCCACTGAACTTCAATCCTGGCATTGAGGGTGATGCTGTTAGAAGAAGGGATTTAGCCTTTCCTCTCACTGCCAAACTAAGCAAAGTTGGTGGTAAAGCTGACCTATTTTTAAAGGTTAAGGGTTTAAATCGGGTTAAGGTTACAATATAAACCTGGACCTCCATTGTCCTTATTTAAATAGGTAAAAACTAAATTCTAATCAGTAATCCTCATTATGAGCCAATATGAAAGGCTTATATGGTGAAACGTTTTTCAGCCAAATGACAGGTCATTGGGTAATACACTAGTGCTGTCCCATAAAAAAGGTAGAAAAATAAATCAAGTTCACAGAAGAGAAAAAAAGGCATTTGCCTGATATAAAAACAACGAAGCACCAAGGAGTAGATGTAAACATTAAATTAAGTAGCTTTTAAAACACTGATTCTCAAAAAAGAACAGTGAAATTGTCAATATTTTTGTCGCTGTAAGTGTTTTATTATGGGTGAGCCTACAGCTGAGCCATTTAAAAACAGAAGTTTAATCTGATGTCAAACAAAAAATGTAGGCTTGAAAAAAGGCTCTTGCATGGTGGAGTAACTGTGATGCTATGGGCTCATTTTAGCTGTGAACAAAGAGCATTTTAAGCTCTGGTGAACAGAGAGAATAACGCCTGAGTGGGTCGGCAGGATGGCAACAACAAAGCAATGGGTTAACAGAGAGGACTCACATTTAGAAGCCTTTATTTGCCAAATCCAAACATTCTTCAAAAACATTGGGTAAATCGAAAGAAAGATGCTCAAAAAAAAAAAAAAAGTACTTTTGCCCTTGGTTGCGTTTGGTAGAAGATGCTGTGCGCCTGTACCAGGACGTTACAATGCAAGCCATAATAGACTATTTGTTAAACCATGAGTTTCTAAGTACAAATCTGGTATCAACATTTTCTCCCCTTCAGACTTTGAAAGTGCAACGTTTGAAAAATGGGTTAAAAGAGGATCTGAAAGCGATACAGCCATCAGAACTTCAAAGAGAAGGTCTACTCTGCCTCAGAGCAGTGAAACGGCACAGATCCATCAGCTACATACCAAATTACTTACTGCAAAGCTTTTTACTTGGATGCTGACAAAGGCTGCAGTTTTGGCAAAATGAACACAAAGCAATTCCTTTTATCAAGTTCCTTTTATCAGATGAAAAGAATAAAATGGCACCACAAATATTTTATAATAAACTTTTCTTGTCGCTCCGACTACAATGCCTCTTGGTGTTTGAGCAACTGCCAGAGGGAACTGCTCATTACTATAGTTTACACTGGAGGGATAAGCATAAACATCTAGTAGGAAGTGAAATGTTCTGATTAAACTGCACAAGAATAATGTCAAGGTTTGATTGATTATTCTAATAAAAGGAAGCAAACATTTTAACTGCAGAAAAGCAACTTGTTATGTAAAGAACATGAAAAGAAATAATATAGATGCATATTTTCCTTTGTTTGCAAGCAATAAACAGCAAGGAAACTTGAATATGACTTAAAATAAAAGGATAAAAGGGGGCGCTCCTAAAGAACTTCTATGACTCTGTTTTGGCATCAGCCATCTTTTTTGGAGCTGTCTGTTGGAGCACTAACTCTAGCTGGATAAGCTGATCAGGAAGGCCAGCTCTGTGATTGGATGCCAGCTCTGTGATTGGATGCCCTCTGGAATCAGTGCAGGAGGTGGGAAACAATAGGATCCTAATTAAATTAACAGCTCTGTTGGATAATGTCTCCCACCCCGAGCATGAAGCTGTTGCAGAAGTGGAGAGCTCCTTCAGTGACAGACTGCTGCACCCTAAATGCACCAGGGTGCGTTATCACAGATCCTTCCTCCCAGCAGCTGTAAGACCCTATAACCACCACTCTTCGCAATAACCTCAATAAGTTTTCACATTCATGCAGATTTTGCACAGTTTCTATCTTAGTCAGTTAAATAACATGCTGCTGTCATTTTGCACATCTCTGATGTTGCCATTTTCAAATTTCATTACTGTAAAAATGTCCATAGCTTTATATTAGTAGTCATTTATTCTCCAGGTGCAAATGTTTATATTGTTAAAAATACTTTACAGTACAGTATTTTATTTATCTTTTAACTACTCACTATTATGTTATTCTTCTATTCTATTTCATTTTAAAATACGGTTTTAGTAAACTCCAGTGGGAAACTAAGTTAGAGTAAACAATACAAACCAAAAGAGTCAATAACGTTTGAGCTTATCCAATATAAAATTAACATTAAAGCCACAACATTTCTCTGGTAAATATTTTTGGTATTTTATGTGATAAACCAACACAAGGGTTACAATAGGTTTAAATTTATAGAAAAACGATAGATAATTTTTGCATAATTCTAATAAAGTCTGTTGTACAATTCAGTCTCAAGCCAATACCCTTTGGAAGCAGCTTATGCAGCTACTGCTGCTGGTCTTATTAGGTCCGTCTCTACCAGCTTTTCACATCAAATCGATGTCTTAATTTTATTGAGAAAAGTCTGAGCTCAGTAAAACTGAATTTAAAGCAAACAAATGTCAATTTTCCACTCTTACCTTTTAAATTGGGTAAATTATTTTAAGTGAAGTCAGGAAAGACTAAGGTCTTATAAACCTTTCCACTGCTTAGACTGCTGCCTCTGCGACCCAGCCCCGGATAAAGCAGAAGAAATGAATGAATGGATGCTTTGTTGTAGCTGCTTTTTTTTTCTTTAAAGAAGAGGTTTATTTATTTATTTTTTTTGCAAATATATCTATATATTTTTTTACAATTCTATTGAAAAAGCATCATGCACAGGTTGGCCATGATAATGCCTTCATAATGCTTTGAATTGTGATTGACAGTCGGCTCGGAGACAATAACTGCAGCTCTCCTTCTTTAGATCATATCTCCTCTTTTTCTACCCAATTATGTCACTCTTATGACACACACTGATTCTGTTGGCCTTTTTTCACAGCTGGGGATATTGTTTTATTACCAAACCTTGCTTTAAATGCATTCAGAGCTTTCTCCCTCACCTTCCTGCTCTGTTCCTTGGTCTTTATGATGTGCTCTAATAAACCTCTGAGACCCTCACGGAACAGCTGCTTTTCTAGCAATAGAAATAACAGGTGGGTTACTTACTGATAAGGTGACTTCTGAGGGCAATTGGTCACACCGGCTTTTATTTATGGGCATCAGAGTAAAGGGTGTATAACATGAGAAACACCTGTCATGGTTTTCATATTTCAAATGGTAAAAAGCAACATTGAAAACCCTAAAAATCCCAGAAAAACACACAAAAGTTTTAGACATAAGGTGAAAAAATGTGGAAGAGTACAAGGAGTGTGAATACTTTTGGACAGCATAGGATGAGTGAGATTTGACGCCTTTTGTAGTATCAACAAATGTTGGGGATTTATGGCCAAATGCATACAGCAAAGAGCAATAAATCATCAGTACAACATCTGCTAGT